GAGAGAGAGAGAGAGAGAGAGAGAGAGAGAGAGAGAGAGAGAGAGAGAGAGAGAGAGAGAGAGAGAGTTCCTACAACTTAAACGTTAATCTCGTGCTCAAGAGAGTTTGCGAACTCCATGACAAGGGGGCTCGCTCCACTACTGAACATTCTAAACGCATTTGGATGCTTTCTGGACCAGGTGCATTTGGACGAGTCCAACATTTTGTAGATATAGGAATTATTGAGAGCTACCAACTGGCATAGCTCAGTTGGTACACTCCTGAACTGTTGAAATACAGACCTGTGTTATGAACTTGGTTGTCTGACGTTTTTTACCGCCACTCATACACAGACAGTCTCATACACGCCCATACATGCATAAGAGAAGGGGGAGAGGAGTCCAGACTGTACACAGATCAAAGTAGGCAGCGGAATACAGCTATGCACAGGTGGGGAGAAGACACACAGTGTTCCTCGCTCTCTGACAGTACTCCCAACAACCAATCACAAGAAGAAACCTGCGAGGATAACAATTGGAATTCACACTGATGATGAGCCAATTAAAACCAGATATCGTTACAGAGTTTGTTCCAGTATGTCGCCACGCTCAGAACCTCACACTCCACTCTCTACCCTACACCCAGTTAGTAGCGCACAACCGAAACAGCCTCCCAGAGGCCAGCGCCAACCACACAGATGAAGAACAGATCCTGCGATGGAATCTTCAGTGCCGATGGACAACTCTGACGAAGAAACAGGCAGCTATGGCTGCCGCCACCCACAAACACTCAGTGAAGAGCCTCGATATAGCCTGGCCAGACGCAGATACCCTCAGGGGTAGATGCGCTGAGATTGCCCCAGCTCCGGGAACCTTCAGGAGGGCCGGCTATGGCTGCCGTCCATGGCAAAGGTCTCAGGATGTCGCCTGTAGACAATTACCACCGCCAACTTGCTTGGCTTCTCCAAACACTGCTTCGCGAGAATGAACAGCCAAAAGTCCTGAACAGTCGTACCTCAACCTACTTGTAGATTCTACACTACCCTAGCCTAGGACCTACCGGTACCGTTTCACTTAGGGCCTGCTCGGCCTCCACGAAATCGGTCCTACTGCTGCACTTAGAGCTCAAGGCCACTTAGGGGGGTGGCGGGGTGCGGGTACCAACTGAGCTGCACCAGTTGGTATCTGACACAGATTACCAGTTTAAGCTGCAATTAAAAAGATAAAGGGGGGGGGGGGGGGGGGGGGAGAAGGATGGTTTCTGGGTATTCTGATGTGAGTTCGGCACTGACTTCAGCGGATTCTGTTGTGCTCGTGGCCAATGAACAATCATTTTCTGTTTCATTTTCCTTGTTGCAGCTGCTAAGCTTCCGTTGGATCATTCAAAGATGGACTACGCAAACGCGGCAGTATTATGTGGTGGACACGCGTCAGGGAGTTTGGGGGTGATGGCCTCGGCAGATGTCCAAGGGAATGGAGGTTTCCACATGCAGAACCACGCGCCGGCTATGGCATTGAGCTTGCAATCGCCATTTATGGTTCCCATAGCCAGTGCAGGCCATGTTCCTGTGCCGATGCCCGGGTCGGCGCTTCAGCCTTATCCACCAGCAGGAGCGGGTGGTGCATCAGCTACAGCGCCGGGAGGAATGGTAGGAGTGCCAGGGGCTGTGACTGGCCAGAATCACCTCGCAATGGCGCCTATCAGCAGTCAAATGCAGATGCCAGGTATTGTTGTTGGGCTGGGATTAGGAGGGGGAGGGAGAGGGATCGTAGCCCTCAGAAGTGGCATGTCAACCAACAACGATAAGATGATGCAACTGAATTTGACAGCCACTGCTCAGTTGTGATTGTATGCTAGAGTATAGTTCTTGATTGATATTTTCCGCTCTTCTGCTGACGCTGGCCTCTGGCCATGCAGTGGATAGGAGAAGGGAGCACGCGGCACGTGGAGGTGGAGAGCAAATGCATGGGGAGTCGTCACCGTTTAGTGTGTCAAGTTGTGGTGTAGGAGGACGACACTGTTGTTGATTCGTTGACCGACACTGCTGTTGGAGTAGCAGAGAAGCAGAGGTGGAGAGCAAATGCAGACGACTGCGGGAATACGGTCGGTGCTCGAATAGACGACAGGGGTGAGTGTTGTCATGAAAGACCGCTGTCGCGTCTTGTTCCTGCCAAAGCGGTTGCCCCTCAACCACTTTTCTGCTGCTTCTGCTGCTGCTGCCAGCAGGGTGTTGAAGAGTCCAGTAGCCAGTGCCCCACCCATGTTTGCTGCCATCGGCGAGTGGCAAAAGTAAACATGTTGTGGAATATAGAAATGCGATTGAATGCGCAGTAATCATGCCCTTTTGCTTTCTCGCGCTGTGGCCGTGCGGCGTGTTTGCAGCCACCTTAGTGTAGTTGAAGTAAATACGCTGTGGAATAGAAACGATCGATTGCTAGACGATGCCCTTTTGCTTGCTCACTTTGGCCTGGTGCTTTGGACGTATACCTTTCTTTTTCTACAGGTCATCGCAGGGGCCTTTTGCAAGCTCGTCCAGGTGACTGACGTGGTCTCTTGCAGCGCATCGGCGGATTTAGTTTTCAGCTTGTTCAATACCGGTGGAAACATTTATTGTTCGCTGTTTCGCCCCTCGTGTTGTCCACCTTTTGGGGCAGCCTCTTTCGCTCTGCCAGTCGCTGGCCATGGTAAGCTCCTCTCCTCAATTGCCATGTCCACCTGCTTCTCCTTGAATGCACTATGTGTGTGCACTTAGGTTGTAATGTATGGCGTCCCCAATCTCACAGAGACAAAGGGATAAAGACCTCTTAGACTGATATCACAGAGACACAGAGAGAGAGAGAGAGAGAGAGAGAGAGAGAGAGAGAGAGAGAGAGAGAGAGAGAGAGAGAGAGAGAGAGAGAGAGAGAGTTCTTTTTTTTGCCCCTTTCGCTTTTCAGCTTAGTATTGCAGAATTTTTTTGTTTTCTTTTCCGTCTTTTTTTTTTTGTTAATTCATGGTGAAAAGCTGTTGTATAGTTCTTCTTCTTCTCCGTGTTGACTTTATTTATGCCGCCGATTCCTGCCTTCGGAAACAAGGCAGCAGCACCGTCTCCAGTTCATTCATAGTTACCTCTCGATATGGTACTCGAGATGTATGTACCGAGAATAAGCCCTTAGAACATTGTAGTTGAGATTATATATGCTCTTCTTTCGTGCAGATGTGGCCAGGAGTCGCCCCAAAAATGGGACTGAAATGTCACACACAGATTTGGAGCAGAAGTGAGAGATGTGTTGCAGCCTAGAATGCCAGGTACTACTGCCTTCTAAGTTCCTTCTGCACCTCATGCCGGCCACACAACGGCGGATACGGGCAATAGTATCCGCAGAGATGGTTTCGTAGCAGCAGCATCCATGCGTTCTCTCCTAGTAGGGTAAGTGGGGGAAGATTTTCCCCAAAATGGAGTTGTCTTTTCCCTTTTTTTTTCTTTTTTTAAAGCAGAAGTGTCTTTTCTTTGGGGGGGAAATCCCCGTGAACTTTTCAAGAAGAGGAAAGAAGTATTTTCCATTCTTCGATATTGTGTTCTCCCTCCGGAGCTGGACGAGCGTTCCTCTGCCTCCCTCCTCCTCCTTTTTCCCACCAAACTGTCTTCTAGTCGTTGCTGTCTGCAACTAGTATGAATGACGCTGTATGGACTATTTTGCTTCTCCCCTGCCGCTGCCTCTCCCTCGTCCCTTTACCAGAGACGCTATGTCTTGTCACTCTGAGGATGTGATGACTTCACATTGCTCGCAAACAAGATATCAAAAATCCTTGGGCGGCCTCAAAAATCCTTGCAGTTCATGTGTAAGGTTATTTAGGATGTGAAATGCTTGGGTTCTTTGGGCGGCTTCAAAAATCCTTGCAGTTCATGTTTGTTGGGGGTGTCGTTTGGGGGGCAGAAAATGTAAAATATAATTGACACAATTTGACAGTGCCCTCCATCAGTTAATGTTCAAAATTGAAAATTGCGAGGAAGGCGGAGAGGGCAAGGAGAGGTCTGGGGAGAAGGGTGAGGGAGGAGGACCGAGGAGCACGGTTGGACTGGGCAATGAATGAAGTGCGCTGTCAGAAGGTTTGGTTGCCCTCGAAGCTATATGATCTCTGGGGCTTGGAGGGGGGGGGGGGGGGGGGGGGGGGGGGGGGGGGGGTGCGTTGCATCCTGACACTACCGTAGGGTTATTTAGGATGTGCCGGACTGCACTGTGGCTTGATTTGGGGGTCGAGGAAAGCCACGTGTAAGCGTATGATTTAATTGTTTTGTCAGTTTTCTGTGTATAGGAATTGGACGGGAACTTCCGGGAGGAATGGCGAGTGGGGCGGGAGGGGGAGGGGAAGGGCCTGCTGCTTCGTGCCACTAGGGTTATCGAGGATGTGCCTGACTGCTGCTGTGGCCAGATTCAGTCAAGAAAAAAGCCAGTTGTGAGTATGGCTTTAGTCTTTTCTCAGTTTCCTGCGAAGGTGTGTGATCGGAGCTTGCAGGGGAAACGCACCTGAGCCAAATTTTTTTTGTTGAAAGCCTAGGATTGCACGAGTACTTGCCACTTGGTTGCCGTCTATACTTGGGGTCGTAGATGAATGTTCTTGCCATTGTTATACAACAAAGGATTGGTTTGCTGCCCATCTTAACAAAGGAGACAAATACGCAAAATTTAATGAGAAACTTGGGTCGCCATACTGGATCAGCAGTGCAACGCAATTCTTCGACAACTTTGTGTCACACACGGAGGCCAGACAGTCATGAGTTCAAATCCATGTGAAAGGCCTGTTTGCGGCCCGTCCAAACAAAGGATACAAAAAGAACAATCGAATGACAAACAACCGAATGAGAAACTTGGGTTGGCATACTGGATCAGGAGTGCGTTAACAATGCCCTTCATTGACTTTATGTCGCACTACGAGGCCAGAAAAAAAAAAAAAAAAAAAAAAAAAAAAAAAAAGACGTTTGAAAACGAACACACGTTGCCTCTGTCCCTCGTCAAACTGTTCATCTACGGTACGTTGTCAACGAACTTGTTGTGTTTCATCGTCGATAATCTAACGTGCCAGGCTCTTCGAGAAACGCATTGCGAAGAACCGTCATTCTTTTCGAAAAGAATGACGGTTCTTTGACACAGGTGCCTAGGTTCTTAAAGCGCATTTCAGTAGGAACCTGTGTCGAGAACCGTCATTCTTTGCGCTTTTTCTGAGCCGTAAAAGCTCAGTATTTAGCCCATCGTGAACCTCCTGTCGACGCTGTCGTTGTTTTCGTTGGAACTGAGCTCGGTGTAAGCTTTCTCCGAATCGGGTCTACCTTTACCAGGCAGGTTCCTCTGGTCAAGGCTCAAAACGGGTCCACATAACTGAGTTCTGTCTACACCGGTTCTGTGGGATTTTGCATTCTCGGTACGGTCCGGACATGAGCTGCACGTTAGAACATATATGCACAGAGTGGCTCACGTCGCGTGATTCCTTGCTGCTGCTTCCAGGACTGGCAAATCCGGGGAGAGGCCATGCAAGAATTTGTCCTCGCTGGAGGCCCTCATCCATTCATTCGGTGATCTCTCTCTCAAGAATTTGTCCTCGCTGGAGGCCCTCATCCATTCATTCGGTGATCTCTCTCTCTCTCTCTCTCTCTCTCTCTCTCTCTCTCTCTCTCTCTCTCTCTCTCTCTCTCTCTCNCTCTCTCTCTCTCTCTCTCTCTCTCTCTCTCTCTCTCTCTCTCTCTCTCTCTCTCTCTCTCTCTCTCTCCCTGGTTGTGTGTGTGTGTGGTATGCTTTTGAGCGCCAAGAGATCTCTTCAGATTGTGGAATGATGCAGAGAAGATTAGCATGGCCCCTGTGCAAGGATGACATTCGCGAATTGAAAAATTTCCGAATATTTTTGAGGCCATGTGCGTGGCAGGCTGGCAGCCCAACTGAGTCTGGAAATCTGTGCTGGGAGAAGAAAATCTGTGGGGTAATGGAAAAAGTTCAAAAAACAAACAAAGGTTGCCAAGAGTGCTTCTGGAATATTAGTGCTTGGCTATAAGCTCGTACGTTTTGGAATGAATAAATAATTAAAATAATTGAAATGAAGGGAGAGCGGCCTGTAAATGACTGGATGCTGTTAATTTATGGATTATGAATTCAGAATTTAAAATGACTGGGCTTGCTCACCCTACGTTAACAGAGGGCACATGAGTCTTTCTATGGATCCAAACATCAGATGATTAGAATGAGTGGAGACCGCAAGGGAAAAATAAAAAGGGGAGGGTGGGGGGGGGAGAAGCAGGTGCCAAGGTGTTTTATAATCGTTGACCGCGTTATCAGTTGGATAGGTGGGCTGAATGGTGTTACAAGGCTTTGGATTACCTTATTTTTGACATCTGAATCCTATCCACTTAGCTTCATTGTTGGGCCTAAGTCTTACATTGCACCCCTTATACTGACACCATCTCACTGTTTTCCTCTATTCCTACATGCATATGCCAAAAGAGTAGGATATTTAACAAGAACAAAGTGGAAACATTTGCTAAAAGTATAGTTGGAATTAAAAAAGCAGCAGTAATCCGTTGAAGAAGCCAATGTGTCAGTCTTTCTCTATTAGCTTTCATTCATTCACACCTTTTTTTTACGTCTCTGACCGTCTATTGCTGCTCCATCTGTTCCTGCATCAGCTGATCCTTCTCACACAGCACCCCTCTTACCAACACCGGCCGGCTCTCATGCTGCACCCCTTATACTGACACCCCCTCACTGTTTTCCTCTCTTGCTAACACCTTCGGTTAGGTCGTTTGCCGTTGACCTTCGTCCGGGTCCCGGACTTATAATTCGTACCTCACTCCATCACCTTCTGACTGGTGTCGCATCAAGGTTGATATTGAGCAAGTGACACCAGCATGTCATGTACAGCTTTTGCAATGGCTTTACAACAGTGTTTCTAATTTGGACATGACAACAAAGCTCGAATGCCTCATCCAAAATTGCGGCATACTTGCCAACGTCACACAACACAACCTCGTGACCCATTTACTGATCACATCAAGGTCGTACATGTGCACGAGGTAGTTCGTGCTACTAACTTGCACCGAGTGTTGCAATTGCTGCAAGTAGTTGCATTGCACCCCGACCCTCAAGCAGCCACACATGTTTGTGTATGTGACAAACTGATGCCACCCACGCATGCCCTGCTTTGTAACTTCACTGATGTGGCCTTGAGTGTTACTCTTGGCATGACGTTACTTGACAACTCGATTTGCTGAAGCTGCAGAGTCTTTCCACATTGTTCTGACGTTGGGGATGATCATATCGTGTTTGTTGACTACGATGTCATTTTTGATGATAGGCTTCACAACCTTTTCCAAAAAGGCTCGAAGTATCACCTGAATGGGGAAACTGCCAATGTGCTCTAGACATTGGCAATTGGACTTTAGATTGCCAATTAA